TCTTAATGTATACCCAGAAAAATGTGGACATTGGTGTTTTGGCTGAAAAATTTTCAGACGCTTTCCAGGCAAAAGCAAGGGAGTTCTTGGTATCTAAGAATGATGAAATGGGACAAAGACAGACTCTCTGGACACTTCTTTCCATCTATATTGATGGTGTTCAAGAAGTGTTTGAGACAAGCCAGTGTTTGCATCCCTCCCATGAAAAACTGCTTAATGATGGATTTAGTATGCTTCTGCCAGCTTGTCAAGAACCTGAACTTAGGACGGTACTGCACTTTCTACAAGCTGTTCTGGCTAGAATCAGGTATGTTTTCTAGTAATGTGCTTATTTATTAATTTGTTTAATATTGTCACCTGTGTTGATTCTATATGAAAGTTTTTCTTTTGACCTAATCATGAAGTCCAAATGTAGAGAGAGGAGCTGGTTTTATTAGTACATTGGCATAAATCAGTAGTTTTCAAACTTCTTTCAACAGTAGTTCTTTAAGAGAAAGCTTATGTGCAAACACATTAAGCTTTGCACGGAGCAGCTCTGGTACAGTCCCAGAGCTATGCCTTTTCACCCCTCCTTTCCTTTCTTTCTTTCGTAAAAGAGTATTATTACCTAGAGGTATGTTTCAGATATTCTAAGCAAGACCTGAGCTCAAATCTAAAGTGGCTTTTACTGAAACGTATATAATTTATTGCCCATATGATTTTGGCCACACAGTACCATTAAAAAAAGTAAGTTTCTTTAAATATTTTGCTACAGAGTTATAGCTTCAACTGCCTCAAATACTTGCAACTAAAACAATTTATTCTGAGATTAAAATGGGATTGTTCTATTTTAATGCCAATCACCTATACAAAATTTAAGTTTTAAGATCCACTTAGATTATACAAATGTGCAAATGCACTCAGATCCGAACAATAATTAAGAGAACAGTGGTAATGAAATATATTTTCTTTTAGGCCTTTTTCACATAACACTTTTATCTTCAAAGTATATGTTCTTAACAAGTTAGATGGTACCACTCATTGTAGTTAGTCACTGTCTCTGAAAAGTTAGGTAAAAGTTATGTATAGAAATACTTTATTTTTTAAATTATGTCTGAAGTTAATGAACAGACAGCTTTCCTCTTCCTAAGACCACATTACAAAAGTAGCATCTGTTTTTCAAAGGTACTAACTTGACAAGATTTCCAAATTATGGAAATTTATTTATTGCCAGTTTTACTTATTGTTAATTTACTTAATGTTGGTCTGTGTGTTCATACTGATTAATCCATAGGTTTTCATTCCTTATTAGGTTTTGTTTTATACAGCTTTACTGTTTCTCTGCACTCATCAGTTTAGGTTCTAAAGGTTTATCCAGAGTTCTTGATCAGACAGTCATCCCCTTATTCCCTAGGGTCAGATATATTAAAGTGACAGTCTTAAAGCTCTCAAATTTTTGGACAGATGGATGGATGGAAAGTAAATGAATAACCAACTTTATTAGAAGAAGCTTTTACTAATTCTGGATCTTCTCTATGAACTGTTTGTTTTTAGTCTAGTAGAGTTTATTAAACATACTTTCCCAAATGTCAAATTAATTTTATTTGTACAATTTTTAAATAAATGTAATTAGTATTTCCCTGTGTTTCCTGGACAAAATTAGAAAATTTGTACCACTATTTCTGGCACCATTATTGGTTTATTTATATTTGTCTGAATATATAAAACAGGTAGGAAGAGGATTTACTGGCCTAAACCATCCTGGTGATGAGGAACTATAGCCCCCAAAAGCTATAGGGGCAAAGGAATAGAAAATGAAGTATGGGCATCTTTGGAAGAGGTAGTCATGGAAACCAAGTGTCAGAATCTGTACATTTTTCTGCTTTTTCTATTGAAGATGGATAAGTACCTTTTAATCAACAATTGCATTTTTTTTTTTTAATTTTTAAAGACAAACTTTATTGTCCTCATAATGGCCTTTTCTCAAGGATTTAGTAAGAGAAAGGAAAAAAATTCTGGTATCTAAAGATAAATTAGAACAGTTCCATATTTTGGAGGAGAGGAAAGGAATGATTTAGAGCTGTCATTTTAATAACAGTAGTATATGAAAAGGGTTGCATTACTTCTTACATAGGCTTTTTAAAAAACACACACACAAAGATTCATATCTCACAAATACTGTTAGTTTAATTTTCTTAGAAATCTGGAGAAATCTTTTTGTTAAAATTTTCTTTAAATTGCAAATATATTGTTATTGGTAAAAGAAAAAAATATGAGGTATAAGGTGACAAGTAAAAGATCCTTTTCCCACCTTTACTCCTATATTTTCAGCTAGAGGTGAATTTGTCTCAAAGGAGACATTTGGCAATGTCTGAAGGTTTTGATTGTCACACCTGGAGGCTGGGGGTTTGCTACTAGTATCGCCTAGTACCTAATGGGTAGAGGTCAGGGATACTGCTAAACATCCCACAATGCATAGGACAGAACACACAACCAGCCTCAGTGGTACTGAGGTTGAAAACATTGATCTACTTATACTCCACAAAAGTAAAAATGGTTTCTTACAGAACCTTACAGATTTTTTCTCATTTATAGGCATAAAACACAAAATGGATAATCTTTATTCTTCAACCTCTTCACTTAGTATTTCCTCATTAGCTTTCCATGTTAGTATGAGCCTAATTCTTTTTAGTCGCTGCTTTAGTATCTTATTATATGTATATACTAAACTTTATTTAACCAATCCCCAAATAATGGATATTTATATTGTTTAACATTTTATGTTACTAGAAACACAGTTTTGCTTATACATCTTTATACAGGCATTTTCTGTGTACTTGGGAAGTATATCTATAGATTAATTCCTAAGCATAAATTGGCATATGTGAATTTCAAATGTGGATGGATATTACCAGATTCCCTACAAAATTTTTTTGCACCAGTTTTCACTCTTCTTAATAGTGTAGAACAGCGGTTCTCAACCTGTGGGTCGAAATCCTTTGGGGGTCAAAAGACCCTTTCACAGGGGTCGCCTAAGACCATCGGAAAACACATATATAATTACATATTGTTTTTGTGATTAATCACTATGCTTTAATTATGTTCAATTTGTAACAATGAAAATACATCCTGCATATCAGATATTTACATTACGATTCATAACAGTAGCAAAATTACAGTTATGAAGTAGCAATGAAAATAATTTTATGGTTGGGGGTCACCACAACATGAGGAACTGTATTAAAGGGTCGTGGCATTAGGAAGGTTGAGAACCACTGGTGTAAAAGAAAGTATTCTTTCTCATTTTTATTAGATTAGTGATTGGAGTATATTTAGAAAGCATGTGTTCTAAGATAGTAAATACAAAAGTCTGCTAAAACTGTTAATGGAAGCTTGGTAATAGGAGAATTTCAAAATGGAAATACAAAGAAAGTAATAAAATGGGAAATTATTTTTTAAAATTTCGTATTAATTTACTAATTTCTTTTTGTCTTTAACCTCCTAACTGGAACTTGGTTGGTCATTCTTCAAAAGTGGTAACTAGAAACACAAGAATAATTCTTGCATTCTTTAAAGATGTTCAGTTTACAAATACTATCTCATTTATTTCTTTATTAACCATATCACCCCTTTTTATAGATGGAATGAAAACTTGGAGACTTTTTATGACTTCCCTAAAATAAGGCCATTAAGTTTCAAAATCGGCAATCCGACCTAATCCTTTATACCACAGCCACCTTCTTATACCATCTTTATAATAGTTCACAAATAACCACAGAGAAATTAACCATACCACTACATTTGTTTAAAAAGTAAGAGATAATTATATGAATGAAATCTGTAAAATGTTGCAAACCTGAAAGTATTACCACTACTCATATAACGTAGGTTTACAATTGTGAGTACACAAACAGTTTATTTTTGTATTTTTTTTTATTATTGTGTTACTAGAGGCCCAGTGCACGAAATTTGTGCATTGGGGGGATGGGTCCCTCAGCCCAGCCTGTGCCCTCTTGCAGTCCAGGAGCCCTCAGGGGATGTCCGACTGCCTCTCCCACCACCCGCTGTGCTTTCTAGCTGTGAGCCTGTCTCAGGGCTTCTGGCTGAGTGGCACTTTCCCTGTGGGAGCGCACCGACCACCAGGGGGCAGCTCCTGCGTTGAGCGTCTGCCCCCTGGTGGTCAGTGCACATCATAGCAACCGGTCGTTCCGCCATTCAATATGCATATTAGCCTTTTATATAGGACTAGAGAGGCCCAGCGCACGATTAAATAGTGCAGGGAGGGTCCCCAGCCCTAGCCCCCTGCGATCAGGGCCATCTTCTGCCTGTTCGCCAGCCCCCAGGCCAAACGCCACCTCCACCGCCAGGCTGTCAGGCCATTGGGATTACCAGCTCATCCCTGGCTGGTCTGGGGCTCAGGCCTTGGGAAAGTGGGTGCTGGAGACTTCACCTCCATGCGTGTGTGCTGGGTCGGCCGCTGATGGAACGCGCTGCCTGCTCAGACCTCTCAAGCGGGTGCCACTGCTGCCACTGCTGCTGGAGCTTGAGGCGCTGATGGAGGCTGTGGGGCGCTCCCGCGACCTACCTGCCCTGGCGTGAGCAGCCCCAGCGGGCAGCGCATTCCATCAGCCACCTGCCCAGCATACGCACATGGAGGTGAAGTTGCCAGCGCCCACTTTCCCGCAGGCCTGAGCCCCCGAGCACCAGGGGATGGATGAGCTAGTGATCCCAACAGCCTGACAGCCAGTCTGGTCTCCTGCCACCCACCCCGAGGACTCAGTGCGTTCCTGCCTGAAACCTCGCTGCCCTCGGGGGAAAGCACAGCTGTTGCCAAGATGACCCCTGCAGGACTGACTTCCTTCTGGTTGGTCGAGCCTCGGTTGTGATGTTACAACCAGGGCTTTTATATAAATAGATAGGATTTTTGATACGATCTACTGTAAACCTATTTTTGTTCTAACATGTATACTTCTGAGTGTTTTTGCCTTTTATTTTTGCTACTAAAAAAGGGTGGATGCTTATTGGGGAACTTTCATTACTATGTTTTCATAATTTTGCAAGTTGCTATTGATTTTTTACATTTTATTGATTTTTTACAGAGAGGAAGGGAGAGGGATAGAGAGTTAGAAACATTGATGAGAGAGAAACACCAGTCAGCTGCCTCCTGCACACTCCCCACTAGGGATGTGCCCTTGACCGGAATCGAACCTGGGACCCTTGAGTCTGCTGGCCGATGCTCTATCCACTGAGACAAACCGGTTAGGGCAAGTTGCATATTTTTTTAATGAGTCATTAGTTGGCAAAAATCACAGAGGGGTGTGGAGACAA